CCGCGATCCAAAGATCACGGCATGTTTACAGCCTCGTCAGAACGACATGGCTGGGAAAAGTAGTGGTGGTTTAAACCATCAGCAGGTTGGCACCTTGCGTGCATCTGCGGCAGGTACGCTGGGTAGTTCAGGGGCGGGCAAAATCAAGCATTGGCAAGGCTTGTATGTACTGGTGGTTTAAACCGCCATTGCTCCCAAAGCGAAAGTTTCTGAACTGGATCCCCTCCTTTTAGAGACACTATCATTGTTGCACACCCCGACGGCCGGTGGCCCTTGACTGGTTGGCTGCCGACCTGCCGACCGGTCGACCACCAACACCCCCATAGCCGCCCCCAATACCCCCATACCCCCCCCCGACACACCCAAACCGCCCCCAACACCTTCATTACCCCCCCCAATATCCCCTATATCACCCCTGTACCACCCTATACCCCCCCTATACTCTAACCCCACCCCCCCCATCCCCAAAAGTTTCTCAGCGGATTTAGGCTGTACTCAGCAAGCGGAGTACAGCCCCCAACTCAGATTTGAAAAAAAAACAGTGGATGGTTGTTTTCTGACTTGTCGGCAGAGGGCCGACCGGTCGGCCCTACTGGTCGGCTGCAATACGGTCGGAGGTCAGCAGGCATGCCCTACTGGTTGGCTGCAATACGGTCGGCGGTCAGCAGGCATGCAACCCCGGGGCCTGGGCACTATCCCAGTCTCAAATCACGAGTGATCCCCTTCCCTAGGTAAGATAAAGAGAGTTTTGGTTCCATCTGGAGGGAAATCCATACTCCGGATTCCTCCCGCAAAACTGGATAATAGTTCTTCGGCATGGTTCAACTCCATCTCGTTCAAGCCAAAACCCAGATGACTCCCTTCCCCAGAGCAACTTCCAACTTGGAGCACCCCCTCCGTCCGTCCCCCCCTCTCCCCTCACCCGCCCCCTCTCCTTCCCACTCCCATCAGAGGAGAGGAGGAGGAGGGAGGAGGAGATCGTGAGAGGCAGGATTTTGAGAATGGGAATGGCAACTGATAAGATGCACGCACCACATGACAGTGCAGTTGAGAAGAAGAAAAGAAGAAGAAGAAGGAGGGGGATTCTCTGTGCACCAGATGTTATCATAAGCCAGATCAGGGTGAACTTTTCACCTTCTAGGCTGGAAGATCACTTGTTTATTTGGTTTTGCATGCAGCACATGAATCCTGTGTTTTGTTTGGAGCTGACCTGTGATGGTGTCTGATGTCGTTGTGCTTTGCGTACTTGGCTGCACCAGTTCCTGAGGAGGGTCTCTGGGGATCACGCCGATGTGAGGCCGTCAGGTTGGGGGTTGTCTTCAGATGACCTAGGTGGAATAGAGGAGAAGGTCCAAACTGTGGAGGCAGGAGGTTTTCAGGACGTCTCATCGAATTTCGAATTCAACTATGGTGGGAGTGCGATATCACATGACGAGTTCAAAGTATGTTGTCTCGTTCCCCTTCTCTTCTAAGCCCCATGGGTTGTGGGCAGTGTTGTCACGTGGGGATCCCCGGGGGGTAAGCCGGGGTTTATGAACGGACCCCCGGATCGCTGCGCGGGGATTCCCGTCCCCCGGGCCCTGGGGGTGCGTATTTGCCGTGGTTCTGACTCGCTCGAACCGGAATTTTTTTGAAAAAACTTTCCCCCTCTCCCCGCGAGGAATAATGCGGGGAACCTTTTTTCTTCAAAATGGGCACTCTGGGGGGCTGGGAAAAATAGTAATCTGGCGCCCCTGTGGGTAATGGAAAGCCCAGAATTCGGGGTTTTTTGCCACATCACCGGAAGCAATGTCGTCGAAAATTTTGCGAACAGACAATGCAAGCTCATAATCAAAACATTAAAAAAAAAGGCAAAAAATAAGCGAAAAAAAGAAAAAACTCAAAAGCATTATAAAATCCTATTCGGAGCAGCTTTCGGAGTTTGCCAAAATTTTCTCCGAAGTCAATGTTTTTTGCCAATTTTTTTGTTACTGGTCTAAATACGTCGAAACTGAATACAGATATGCCCTAAAGCAAGAACATAAAGAAACAAGAAAAAAGGCTTAAATTCAGGGAAATATGGCAGTTTCGGTGGAAAATTCACCAAAAATGACACCACCTATTGACCATTAGTGCTGACCCCCGGACCCCTGGACCCCTGGAACCCGGACCCCTGGACCCCCGGACCCCTTGACCCCTAGACCTCTGGACCCCTGGAACCCTGCGTCCACCCCCGTGCCCACCCTGACC